TTCGAAGACAGATGCGGAACGTTCAATAACGCCACGACACTTTCCGCACTTGACAGTGCAGCGGCCCCCTAGAGCTGACCCACCACTACCCCTCTACCCCTTTATCGAGAGTTCACCTTCGAGCCCTGCCCCCCCCCCCCCCCCCCCCGATGACCGTTCTCACCTCCTGCCACGGAGCCCAGTGAGAAGCGGTAGACGCTCTCGAGGACCTGGATCAGTGCGCCGCGCTGGTCCGGGGACTGGCGACACGGCAGAACGCCGTGGTAAGACACAGCAGAGAGTGGGCGGATGGCGTGCAACGGCAGGGTACGGCACGGTGGGAACCGGAGTACCGACACAGTAGGCAGCAAAAGCAAGGATCGATGGAGCACCTGAGACGAAACTAATTTATGTGGTAGCATTCAAAAGACTACAACCCGAGAAACACCTGATATGATCTGAGATGGCAAAACTGTCAAAACATGTCATAAATTAGCATAACTTAGAAGCATCGTAACTATTAATATGCTTACGCCACAAAAAGCCTACGCTTCCCTTGTCAGAAAGAAAATTCCCAATGGAGACGCTCAATCACAGCAGAATAAGAGATAATATCACAAAATGGCATAGTAAAACAAGACATGATATAAGACAGCATAAAACGACACATCGAGGGGCGTTAGTCGTGGACACGGCGACGGCGGGTGTCTCCGTCTCACCTCCACGGCCTTGATGTCTGTGTACTTTTTGGTGACCTGTTTCATGTACTGTTCGGGCGCCATCGCCTGCAGGTCGGCATACACTAGGCGGCTGAGGACAGACGGCCGAGGTCAGTCGCGGCATGGCGCGGCGCGCCGGGTCACGGAGGGGCTCCCCGCCGGGCTGATTCCCGTAGGCTGGGAGGTTGGTCCTACGCAGGTATGACTATTACCACTGACTATCTCACATAGTGTAAACTTCAAGGGAAACGACTGATGTGGTTCAGCCAAATGGCTATGGCACGCAGGAAGGCCATTTGACCTTTTTCTGTGCTAGTTTTTTTTTTGGTACGAAATGACCAAACGACTAAAATGGAACACGGTGTTAAGAACATCAGTGAGGTGAAGGCTATTCGCGTATGTATGTACCCCTCTCGAAACATCGAATAATGCTGCAGCTCAAAATGAGTGGGAAGATCAGAAGTAAAGCAGAGATAACTATATAACGTTGCTGGTTCTTGGCAAATGCGCGTAAAAGCTCAAACTGAACTTAGAAGCGAGCCACATATAAGTCAGGTATTTACAGGCCAGGAGCAAATTGAAACCACTCACTTCACGGAGATAATGGTAAAAAGGGCAAAAACTCTCAAACACATAATCATATCGATACAACCAGATGGTCAAAAGCATGTGCATTGTGCAGTGCTGCGCGCGCTGAAAACCCAGTCGAAATGGCAAAACGAGGAAACACGCGATTAGAAATCGATTCGTATGGCAGCCGAGCATGACGTATCGCTAAGCGTCAGACTATTCACCCCAGGGCTGGAGTATCGTCTCCGAATAGAGACAGGTCGATCCTCGCAGCGACGGAACGAGAGGTTCGTCTTATCAGCGACAGGTACACGACAAACACCACTCAGACGAGATAAGCTAACACGGAGGCCGAGTTAAGCTACCGACTAGGGGATGGACATGGGAGTTAAGAAAAATCACCCGATCGCTTGTGATCACTGAACAAAGAAAAAGAAGGTCATAGGTCAAGATTTAATTCATATCACAAACGGCCACACTTATTCTACTCTACCCAATACTAATATTCCCAAATTTTCCCATTACCAATAATAATAATGATAATAGAATGTTCCCCTATTTCGGTAAGTGATTTTACCCCGCCTCTCTACTGTTCTAGTCTCCCGTCAGCGGCTTACTTGGTCTGCTGGATGAGTCCGGACAGTTTGAACAGAATGTCCACCTCCAGCGGCGTGATCTGTGACATCATCTGTGCCGACTGCAGAAACTCCTCTGCAACGACCAGACGGACGTCAACAGTCACAGCGAGACACGGGCTTCACATCGAACGGTCGTGTCGGTCACAGCTCTGACAGCTTAAGGCTAGCTGAATTGTCAAACGTCATGCCCGGAGGGATATGAATCCGTTTTATCTGTCAACCTAGCATTACGAGCACTCTTCTCATCCGCGCAGCGTGCGCTCTGCCGGGCGCAGAGCGCACAGCGCCGCCGCCAGCGGCACCAGCAGCGCGCACCGCATGGTGGCTACCAGCGCAGCACCGGCACTCGCACGGCCATCTCCACCGCGCACCCCGGCTCTCACTGGCCGGCGGCCGGCGCAACACTGCCGGCACCCGGCGCCCCCGGATCGGACCACTGTCGGGCCGACCTCTGCCGAGCGACGGTGGCGTCGCCGGGCGGCCGCGGCGATAAACCGACCGCCGGGAGGAGGCGCGGCGGCGGCATCTACGGCGGACCGCGGCGGCCGTCGGACCCACTACACCGCCCGAGATCACTCCGGCACCCGCTCTCCGGGCCGACAAAGGCCGAGATGGGGCCGGCCGGCGCCGCTGCACTTGCGTGTTGCAGGCGCGGTGCATGCGGTGGCGGGCCCGGCCGGTCGGCGCCGCCACACCGCCAGCGGGCAGGCCAGCTCGCCGCTAATAAGCACCGGCTGCAGCGTCAGCCGTGCTCTCAGGGAGCTCAGCGCCGTTACTGTCCGGGGAAGCACCCTGCACCCCGCCAAACAGGCCTGGCCAGCCATACCAGCCAGGGACGCTTTCGGGCCCGAAATAATAAATGTTCCTATGTAAGGGGTACTATAATGGGAGTCACACATGAGACTCAGCAGCGGCTATGAATAGACCAGCGGCCAGAGGGCCGAGCGGGAGCAATGCAAACCGTGTTGTGCACGGCGTCCAGCGAGGGTCGCTGCCACGGCGCAGAGAGCAGCAGCCGCCGTCGGCCCCGTCCCGTGTCGGGGGAGATGCTCGCCGAGCCCGACCATGCGGCAGTGCTCAGCCGAGCCAATGGCACCAGGGCGGCACCCACACCGCGGTTTTGGTGGTTCCACTTCCGTCAGTGGCGCTCACAGCCGCGGACACTGCCAATCACCATGCGTGATTCAGCCAATTCAGCAGTGTAGTACAGACAGGTGTTCAAATGGTTTGGTATAGGTGCCGCACCAACTAGGAATGCACGATGATGCCTATAAAGTGAGCGCTGCCCTGTTCCCCGGGACAATTAGACATGAACAGTGCGAACTCTGATGTGGTTTGAAGATAGTGAAGTGTGGAATTTCATCTATCAGATTGCCTTTATTAGCATGCCAATCACAGTTATTTGGAGACAGCATATACCATCAAGTAACGTGACTTATTAAATTACGGAAGGGTCGCGATGCTAAGTTGCAGTTTAGTCTCTGCTGATAGGATATTGCTACAAGTTCAACTGCTGTCACCACGCCAAGATTCTAGGGGGAGTGTCGATCTTATGGTCATATCATGACCCGCTGTCTGCGGCGGTTGACCTGGTGAATGTCGCAGGGGCAGCCGGTTCCATCGGCCGCTGAACCCCGGCCCTGGCCAGCTATACCCCTCCTCGTGTCAGCAGCACCGCCTCACCTTGGGCGTGCTCTTCGCCGTTCCAACTATAGCAACTGGGGGGCACATGGGCCGTTTTTTACCCCCATTTTTCCCGTCCGCGCCATTGTGTCGGGAAATATGCAGTGCGGCCCGATACGGTACCGGCCCGGTTTTGGCCGCGCCGTTCCGTGTGATGGGGGACATCAGTTGGCGCTGCTGGTCGGCCAGCGCCAGTACCATCAACACGCAGCCCTGAACACGAGCAGTTGCATGACACTCATGTCTATTTTTGAAATGCATTGTCGCGAACAATGGAATGGTGTGATTTCCATCCACCTGTGACAGTCGTCGCTTAGGACAATGCGATGTCACAACATTGATTATTTTTATTCATGCTGGTATTTCCATTAATAACCACGCTAAGAGCCAGCGCATGCATAACGAATTGTGAACTAATTTGCGAGACGATGTAAGCTCGCCCTGTGGTGGGGAGTCAGCATGTATGTTGGTCCAAGACTGTGCTTGACTGACCGCAGGAGGTCCCGAGTTCAGGACGCTTCATACATGTAAAGTTGTTATAAAAATGATTGATGAATTAAGCTGAGCATGTGTATTCTGTTTACGACTATGTCTCTCCCATAATACATACATTTAATGCTAAATACTGGTTAATGGCTATCTACGAATACAAGTCCTAACCCGCAGAGGGCGCCCTCCATCCGATGAGCCTGCCAGAGAGCCCTTCCCCAAGGTGGTGCCGTGCCCAGAGCCCTCGGGGCTTGTGAGCGAGCGGGGTGGTTGGCGGCTGAGGACACCGACCCGGCCGGGTCCACACATGGCCCCTCACCTTCACCTGTGAGAGGCTGCCCATCCGTCGGCGTCGAAATAAAAACATTTTATAAATAAAGAGGATGGCGAGCCTTGGGCCGGCGCGCAGTGCGACGACCCTCCGCAAGGCGAGGCGGTTTAGCGCGGCGACGGTTAAATTCCTAAAGGTGGTTATTCACTGTGTGGATTATAATCAACGAACATTCTATTTATGGTAAGTTAAAGTAACGAGAAACCAAATGGGTCCTAATATCAGCCTTGCTTACCCTGCATCATACGTAACCGATGTCAGTATTCAGTACCTACGTCATCATTTGGCCAGCTGTTAGACAAGGATACCGCCGAGCGTGCATTGCAAATCGTTCCAAGGAGTGGATAGTAGCACGAAGTGGTTCTAGTGGTTTCAGGAAGCACGTTTCTTCGTGGCTCATTCATAGCTTGGCATTTTTCACGCCGCCTCATTAGTGCATGTACTCAGTGAACTCGCTCTCTTGTGCCTAGTGAGGCTACGACTCCGTTCGGTTGATGTGCCAGTCATGAACGCTCAGTTCGTCTCAATGCGGTGACGCAGTTCCCACTATGGCGCTGACCTACCGGTCAGATATGATGTTAAACTCGGTGCTTCCTGCGTGATAAGGTATATTTACAGAAGGCGCGAGGGTGTCACACGCTGGCGGACCGGCCGGCAGTCCCCAGTGACCGGCCGGCGACCCCCGGTGACCGGCCGGCAGTCCCCAGTGACCGGCCGGCGATCCCCGGTGACTGGCGCGGCCCCTCGGTCGGACCGGTACGTCCCAGATCGAGGACACGTCACGCTAAAACTCTATCAAACCAGCCGACAAACAGGCCAACGGCCGCTGGGCCAAAACACCCTCTCTGGATGGACATTGCCAAAGCACTTTCGGAAGCAGTAAGATCGTAGGCATGGTAAAACACCGAGTTATTACTGATTGTGCCAGGAACTTTCCCATAACATGTGAGCAACGCGAGGTGGAGCTGAGACTCAAAATCGCCACCCTTATATTATTCGCTGTGCTTAAAATCGACAAAACGCACAAAAACGATTGACTCGGCGTATGACCCTGTATGACATTGTCTGATAGCCAGGAAGCGGGCGGACTGGTGGGCAGCGGCCCATTGCTAAGGATGCCAGCGTGCTACTCCGTGACCGGTGACCTGCTCCACATCCCGCCCGAGTCTTCCTCCCCTGAGCGTCTCTGGCGTCACACAGCCCGGCACGCGCCGGCGACTGCGGCAGCGCCGTACCAACTGATCAGAACCGCCCGTCACCAGCCGCCCAGCAGGCCAACACTCGTCCACGTACAGAGGCCCCTGCGCGAGCGCACAGGTACTACAGTTTGACATCCTGGTACCGTCTGTTTGTGATTGAGGCGAACTCAGTCGACCTGGCGAGCACAGACCGACCGCTGGCCAAAGATGAGGCTAAGTTTAAAACTACTCTCCTGCCGGCCGCCACCCAGCCCCGGTCCCGACTGCCCCTCGTCTGGGGACACCCGGCGCACGGCAGTGCTCATTGTCCTACGGCAGAACCACGTCCACTCGGAGAAAGACAGACACACCACCGGCCCTAAAACATCTCGCCACGTCTCCCTCTCCACACCCGCGCCACACTCCACACAGGGAGAAAGGAGTCAAACCTATCGGCGCAGCCGGCCCCGCGCCGCCAGTCCCGTCCGTAACAATCTCAAAAACAGCAACAACAGCCCCACTACGGGACCCAGCTAGCCTGCCGCCGGGCGGCCCGGCGCCACTCAAACGCCTCTCATCACCAGACTACGGTCAACAATGCACTAGATGGTAGCGAGCCGGCGCCGAATCGCTACGAGGCGGCCGCCGGCGCGGGAGTCGGCGCGTGGCGCGGGAACGCCAGGCCGAACTTGGTCTCGAGGCCCTCGAGGATGGGCACGGCCACGCGATAGCCGCCGACGTGCGCCGGGTTCTCCTGTTTGACGGCCTCGGTGAGCGAGAGCGGCGCCGACGTCTCCGAGCCGGCCGGTCGCCTGTCGGACGGAAGGGCAGCTCAGGTCAGCTCAGGTTGGGTCGAGGAGGCCGGGTCAGGTCGTGTCAGGTTGGGTCTTTATGGTCGGGTGAGCTCGCGTCTGGTCAGGTCGGTGAGGTCGAGTCGTGTCAGGTCAGGTCGGTAAGGTCGGGTCGGGTCGGGTCGGGTCGGGTCGGGTCGGGTCGGGTCGGGTCGGGTCGGGTCGGGTCGGGTCGGGTCAGCTCAGGTCAGGTCAGGTCGGTAGGGTTAGGTCGGATCGGGTCAGATAAGTCTAAGTCGGGTAAGGTCAGATGACGTCAGGTCACAACAGCTTAGGATGTGTCATGTCAGGTCTTGTCAAATGAAGCGAAATCAAGTCAGTTCAGATATGCCGGGTCCACTAGGATCAAGTCAAGTTGCAGTCAATTAACCCGCACCCCGATGGGTTATTCAGCCATACGCGCCCTGCTGGGGGGGGGGGGGGGCAGATTCTGCCCCCCCCCCATCTAACTTCCAAACCGATGGTCGTAGAAAGACGGGGAAAACGGTAATCGAAAGCTCTCAACAAGGCGGATCTTAACCCGCGACCTGGTGGGGGGCTATTTTTTGCCCCCCCCCCTCTAGACTTTTTGATATATCTCCAGAACCGCTGCGCCGATCGTCACCAAACTTTCAGTACCCTCCCGGACATCAATTTTACACATTGTGACCAAAAATTTTTCCAAAGGCTATGATAGGGTGGCCGGAAATGACGTCAGAGTGACGTCATGTTCTGCCGTTTTCGACCCAAAAAAGGGTTTCGCGGGAAGAGCTGTCAGGCCTATAGCTTTGCAAATACAGAAAAATGATAATGACATAAAAGCTGTAGAATTGACAGGACTACAAAACTGTTATCTCGGATTTTTTAAATTTTTGGATTTTGACCCCCAAAAATCAAAAAATATTTTTTTTTGGAAATAATCATCGAAAAATCCAAAAAGTTTTTTGAAATTTGCAAAAACCGGAACATATATGATAGTCCTTACCGCCTTCCATCCATATACCAAATTTTAGATTGATACCTCTTTTTTGGCGAAGTTACAGCGAAAAAACTGTTCAAAATTGATGACGTCAAATTTTCAAACTCAATTTTTAGCAATTCTAGACCCCGTAGCGCAAAACAAAGACCACCATTAGACTCCCCGTGACGAGCTGCATCGAATCAATACCCATTTTATGCAAAACTATCAACTTTAAAATTTGACCTTTTTTGGCCTGACCTTGACCTGACCTTGACCTGAACTTCACCAGAAAGTGACCTAAGCCATACCTGATAGTCTTATAACCAACACCATTGAGTTGGAAATGAAAATTGGCCATAAAACATGCATCACACAACCTTAGTAAAGTTGGGCTCATGTGACCTGACCTGTGACCCTTGGTGACCTGACCTGTGACCTGACCTGGTATTGTCAGTGACCTCTAATAGCAACATATCTACTAGGCAACTGACGCCCTATCGCTGATTCTCGACAAAATGCGTTTTCTTCGGTGTTATAGCGCATTCCCTAGATGACCCGTGAACGGTGAAACATGTCATCTTTGACCTGACCTGTGACGTCATCGGTGACCCCGAGGTCAATGAAATTTGGATTCCCTCGACAAATTTGACAGGCCTTTCGAACACCGTTTGAATTTTGCGGATCAGTCCAGTAGTTTCGGAGATACGAGGGGGGGGCAAAAAATAGCCCCCCCCCCCACCAGGTCGCGTTATAAACAGACCCCACCAGGGCGCGGGTTAAGAGAATATTTTTTTGCTTGAGTAGGTCAGAGGTCAGGTCAGAGGTCAGGTCAAGGTCAGGTCAAGGGTACAAAATGCAAGTTTCTACAGTATCGGCCTTGCACAGCAGTTGCCGAAGAATAGACCCAGACTGATTGCCCAAAACGTGTTCTTAGGCTACCAAGACAATATTCGTTGCATACAATACCATGCAAAGGTCAAGGTCAAGGTCAGGTCAGGTCATCAAAAACAAAATATAGAAAAGGGCATGTGCGACACATGTTTTATGGATCATTTTATTCATAGAATTCAATAGACTTACGCAATAAGTGATATGGACCACATCTGGATGAATTTCAGGTCGAGGCCAGGTCAAGGTCAGGCCAAGTGAGATCAAATTTTGAAGTTAGTTGTTAAGAGCTAAAAAGGTGTCTATCTGATGCAGTTTTTCACGGCGAATCGAATGGTGCTATTTTTGTTTCCGTACGAGGTCTAGAACTTCCAAAAAACTTCATTTTTCCAAAAAAAATGTGTGTCATGACGTCATAAAAGTTTGAATAACTCACACATTTTGGAAACGATTCTTCTAAAAATTGGTATGTAGGTGCACATAGACCACTTCTCTGACATAAATTCCGTTTTTTTCGATACCCTCAAAATTTTGGATTTTATAATGATTTTCCCAAAAGTCATTTTTTTTTAGAAAAAAATGGGCCAAAATCCAAAAGTTAAAAAAACGAGATAGCCATTTGACAAACAACGTAGAATCACGTATAACCTTTTAAGTTACGTCTTGATTCCTTTAAAAATGAGGATGTTAGTGGCGTTTGAAGTTTGCCGTTTTGAGGCGAAAATGGCGTGACATGACGTCACTTAAACGTCATTTTCTCAAAAAAAAAATCCGACGGATTTGGCTCAAATTTTTCAGGGAACGTGTTAAATTGATGATCATAACGTACTGGAAGTTTGACGTCACTGGCGCAACGCGGGGGTTTTTGGGCGCCCGGACTACAGTGGTCATCGGCGCAGTGGCGTAACGCGTTTAGAAGTTATTGGCGAAAAACGGGAGGGGGCAGATTCTGCCCCCCCCCCCAAGCGGGGCGAGGGTTAAGATGAAGTCAGATCAGGTCAGGTCACCGGGACAGTAGCGACACGGCAGGGTGAGATTCATCAGATACGTACTTGATACATGGCACACTACGTTGAGACAGATGATAAGCCTGATAAGCCCTACACCGTGAATTGCGATGAATCGTACACGAATGGGTTGAACCCGCAAAAGAGCTAGGAGACAGGAGTATTGACATGTCACAAGTAAATGCAATAAAAAAGGCATCAGAAATTATAAAACTAGCGAGAAAATCCTTAAAAAATCAGCTCGCCTCATAAAACATAAGCAAGCAAAACACCCAAACACATAAACATTAAACGCATAGCTCCACCCAAACACAATCCAACTGAAATCTGAAGAGGCCCCATGGCGAATATGACTGCATTAGGTATACCCAGTGCTGTTAGTGACTGTGTACATGGACTAGTCATAGGAACCAGCAGGAATAACCAAGGACATACTTACCGGCCGTGTCCGATGCACTAAAATGGCACACAAGGAGGAAACAGGCGGATAACCAGTTTCCTGAGCAAACCCTAAAATAGACGGAATCGCTACGACAGAGAATAAAATAATCGGTTGAAGGATGATCGGTAAGAAATGTGTCAACATTTTTCTTCTTTTTTAATATTAGACGAGTGTTGTTCAGTGTTACTCGCGGAGAATGACCACACGCACATGCATAAGGCGCGTGGCAACGCAAAATCGCTGGTACGACTGGCATGAGAGGCTAAAATGTGGCTTACTTGCATGGCATTAGCAAAATATTAAGTTTTAAAAATCAGAAACCCATTAAGGTTTGCCATGCAACTAAGGTATGAAAGCATGCTTGATTAATTCATGCGTCTATATTACCGACATGCACGCAAATATTTGCTTCAAAGTGAGCGCACGATAAAACGTGACCTCCTGACGAAGCAAAGACATGCCCGAATGTAAAATGTAAGCTTACATAACCATAACGATGCATATATTGCGTTCAAAAACAATGTTTGAAAGCAAAAAAAAATCACTAAACAGACACTCGAAATACATACCGTATACCCTATCTAGTCCTAGTTCAATGACTCAAACAAAAATGCAAACAGTAAGTCAAAAAGCATGCCCTCCCATTGGATGACCGAATTTGAGCTGACTTGAGGCCTCTCCTATCGAGCTAATGATGCACCAGATCACACACGGCTGCTAAATTTGGTCGGCAGTTCCCGGAAATTGTGTCATCTCCGTGGCGTTCGGTGCTCTCCGGTCCGGCTGTATCCGGCCACTGAGGCCATGCAAGCCGCTACCGCTGGATACCCAGCACTGGTGGAAAGTTGGAGCGGTTGGAGGCCGCGCTCAAACGCGCGCGGGATGATGTCACTAAGCTGGTTGTTTCATGTGTGCGAGATGTTTAACCCTCGCCCGTAAACGGTGTTTTGCCACCTTCGCCCATGCAGGGGGGGGGGTTGGTGCGACCCCCCCCCCCCTGGCGTTTGAAAACGAAGCGTCGTAGAGCTTAGCGGAAAAGACCAACGGATTGCTCTCAACGAGATCTCGCGATTGGTGGTATATTTTTGGTCCTAGGTCAACATTTGACCTACTTATGACCGGTCAAAGGTCAAATTTTCTGAAAAATCTAACTTTTTCAGATTTCCGCGCCGATTGCGGCAAAACGGTAAGAGATATCGACTTGAAACCTTCACTATCGTGATCCTTGATCAATTCTCTATCGTTTGGTGTGTATTTCGATGTCATAACTCTAAAAATGATGCGTTGGGAGCATCGGAAGTCTGCAAGGTCATTTGTGCATTGGGTCACGTCAGGCGTGTGACGTCACTGACCTGACCCTGACCCAAAATGAACTACAAGAAACAACCGACGATGCCTGAAATGGATAGCAAATTCGAATTCAGGGCATCAAAATACCCCGAAAAGGCATACAAGTGCAAGAAGTCATTACAGGTCAACCGAGGTCACTGACCTGACCTTGACCTTTAGTAACCTTGAAAAGGTCAACGGACATTGTGCCAATGTCAAATCAGCCAGTTATGATTCTAAAACAATCCATCAGTGTGTCAGGTCAGTCGGCATTTATACCAATGTGAAGCAATCTCCAATTTGGCGTAAATCTGGCCGGAGGTTGTTCCCTTTATGACGTCATAACTCCGTGACCTGACATGACCTTGACAAAAAAAAATTACCAAAAGTTGCGCAAAGGATGCCCCAAAGGGTACTGAAAATTTGAGCGGGCTATCTGAAACGGTTCGGCGTGTAGCTAAGAAAAACCTCAGGGGGGGGGGGGTTGCACCAACCCCCCCCCCCCCCTACATGGGCGAGGGTTAAATACCAAATTCGCCTCGACGGTATGGCACACAGTTGAGATGGAATGCGGTTGAATTTATTCAAAAATTGCCTAGAAACTCGTTATAAATACAAAACCAAAAAAAGAATACCGAAAGACTGGCATAACAACCTCCGGTACATATCTTAAGCATCTTAGCATCTTGCCCACAGGCCACGCAAACCGACTATCCCAAGGTGGGCGACATCAGGCCAGGTCCGCCGGGATATGAAAGGCATACAGGACGCTTTGGTTCAAGGAAAAAGGTGAGGAATTCCCAGAAATCTGCCAGGGTGACCTTCAGCGCCCGCCTCTCATCAAAGGCGGTCGTATGAGAGCCACGAGCCGATGTCAGCGGTAGACTATTAGCCAAACGCATCACCAACCGTTCAGTCTACCCTCTGTTTAACTACCATAATCGATCATCTGCACCGGTTCTTCAGCCCGTCCCATTGGCGCTCGGCCCGACCGCTTCCTCGCCGGGTCCCAGAGACCGTCCCGCCGGGCGGAGGAGACGTCTCGAATAGTTCCTCCGGGGCGCTGCGCCGTCCTCTCTCCCCTCTCTCCTCGGAAGCGAGCCCGCTCGGCACATCTCACACCGCCTGGCCAGGGCCAACCTAACCGGTTCGGCCGGCGCCGCAGTGTAACGGGAAGTTAATGAGCTTAGCGGGCCCTCCCGGGTGTCACGCACACAGATAAACAGACACAGACGCCAACGGAGGGACGTCGGAGAGGCCCCCGAAGGAGGCAAGTGTCCGGGTCCTTGGCGGAGCGGGTAGGTTAGATCCTGTCCCGTTCAGCTGTTAGGCCGTCTTGGCATCTCCCCCCATTTAGGTTAGAATTAAAAATGCAGTGGGTACTGAACTAATACATAGTGGTCGTGATATTGGGACATCCTGCTCAGGAAATAATCAACTATCGGTGTTCTACGCAAGGACCATGCCGTTGCTTATAGGATGCAGCGGTGCAGCGATGCGAACTACCCGGTGCAGCGATAAATGTGCGAGCGCACTGCGCAGGCACCAAACATATGTTCCGTACTCCGGAGGCTGCATATGCTCCATCGGTGATACCTTCTGCTGAAAAGCATCTCTGCTCTTGTTCGAGTGAATTGATAGGCAAGGAGAATCTGAACTATTGTGAAGGTGATTTGAAGGCGTGGATATAGTGTTTCCGTTTGCTGGTTACATAAGTGCTCCGGAGTTCTGCATCAATACCTGAAGTTGAAGTTGACGGTGGAATCGGATGGGAGGGCCGAGTACACCACGGGGTACATCAAGGGGTACAGGACAGCGGTACCAGATGGAGGCGGACGGAGTGCAGTAAGTCACGGGATACACCGCGGCCCGGGGTGTATCCCGGCGGTCAGACCGGGATAGATCGGACGGGAGAAGGGATGATCGGGGCCGTCTCAGTACTCACAGTCCGCCAAAGTCCACGTAGAAGACGCGCTGCAGCAGTTCGTAGGTGAGCAGCGTGACGCCGAACTGGGGCGACGACCGGAACACACGCGCTGCCGGCCGGGGGAGCGGGGTGTCAGTACCGGCCCGGCCAGGGTGCCGGTCAGACACGGGCACCAGTGGCACAGACAGACACATAACAGTCCATGCAGCAGCAGCGGTGTCAGAGAGCCCCGCCACTGGGACTGATAATATCGCAAGCAGGCCGATGTTGCAAAAGTTGTTTTCGTACCATAAGCGTGGATTAGCTGCACTCACTCTCAGGGACGCCTCAGCGTTCGTTTCAACCTCATGCATTCACCACTCATACCACCACATCAGTCAGTTCATTCAGTTCCAGTCTCGGTGCATTCCTTCATCTGGGACTTCATGTGGTAGACCCAAGGTAAACGGGCTGATCAGTGTTCGCGGATACACGTTATGTAAGAAGCTACGCTAAGTAAAACTGATTGGCCCGCAGTTCCCAGCGTGATGAAACATATTCCAGGTGGGCTCACTAAACATTGTACGTGTCTACTCGAAATGTGGTAAAACTACACGCAGCCCCGAAAGCCAGCAATCGGGTGGAATTCTATGTAGGGGTTGGGGTGATGAAGCAGGTCCGAACTCTGAAGGCGTATCGCACCGACGCACTAGATTGATTCGAAGAACGAGAAGACGACCAGAAAAGCCATACATAAATAGCAAAATCAGGACATGTCGTTTGGCGCATGTGTTTTGAGACCACGACTGCTCTAAAATTCCGCAAACACATTGCGGGACGAGGGAGGGTGACGTCACAGCGTAGCGTGTACGCCGCCGTGGCGTAACCGGCGCACCGCCAGTCAGAGGGAAATGATACTGTAGCCGCGGGGAAGATACCAAGCCGACCCAACCGGTATGCTAGACTGATACATTACGTAACGATGCAAATAAATCAATCAGCATCGATAATGTCTCAATGTCATATGACAAACGTCGTCATGCGTTTTTAACAACTCGCATAGTTGTTTTGTATATGTAACAGCTCGCATAGAAACAAGCGTTACATAATCCAGAAATACATGACTGCCGTTTTGTAACATCAATAATGACGCGTGGTTTATGTCAGCATCAGGAGCATCGGGTAGGATGTGCCGACATACGTACAGATGGTGCGTTAGCATTTCGTCCTCACCTCATTCCGGTGCACCGAGCACGGGATGAGTGGTTAGATGTTGGGTCCGTGGTAGTAGGTACTGCACGAGCTTTGGCTGACGGGCGCTCAGACCCCGGGCCCTGTCAGTAAATCGGACTAGCTTTGTAAAAAAGTGTTGAATTCCGTTGCGACCGCCAGTCTTATCTTATTTCTTCAGAGAAAGTCCCCTGAAGAGAGTCAATGGAAAAGAAGTCCCCTGAAGAAAGCAACTTCCCATAAAAGCAGCGTAGGCCGGGACATCCGGAAGTAATCACATGTTGCAGCACCATGACTAGTTAGCGTAGTAGCTTAAATCATTTGATGTCAGACTAGCTCGCGCCGGCAGGGCGATAGCTTGACTCCCCGTTCCGCGTCCCTCCCCTCCTTCCCCGGCCATCACCCGACCGACCGATCGACTCAGCAGCATCTGACATGCAGTGGACAGCTCAGTGGCAGGCACAAACGCCCTGGACAGGGCTGGCTGCGCTGCATTCGACATTCCGTGTCTCCAAAAGCATCCATACATGACAACGACGTCACACATCACCCAGATCTCAGAATTATACGGCTGAGTCGGATGCCATTTAAAACCATACTGCAGAAAGCCGCGCTGCCATGAAGCAAAGAGCAAATAATAACAAATCCAGACATGCAATAGTACGAAAGCGGGGAAAATGGAGTGATTCCGGGCCATATGGCTGGTAATTAGCGGTCTACGTTAGCACGGCACATGACTTATAACTTCTCCTTAAGAGCTCTCTGGTCTGCGGGCTATCCAAACCTCCTAGAAGGAGAAAAATAACTTTATTGGAGTGGTATAATTTATCTCGCATAGCAGCAAAACGCACAGAAAAATGCAGCAATCAGGAAAGGCATATAATATAAAAATGGAGGATTATTCTGGCCGAATTCCATTCAGTAATACGAATTGTATGTAGTAGGCATACTCTGCATTGTAGCGTAGCAGGGACATTTCGGTCGAGAGTGTTGCGTGGTATCACAAACTCCGCCGATGGCATCTTACTAGCCCTGTGCAGTCAGCCACAACGCCACTCAAGCCACCGTTCAGCCCTCTAGTACCACGCCGCCCAGCAACACACACAGACAGATACTTACAACTCTGCCCAATCAGTCTCAGTTAGACGGAGAGATAATACACAGATGATTCTAATCCCAGTCCCACAGACAGTCAGACAGACGGACGGACCAACAGCCACACATACATACACCCAGCTCTCTGCCATCCAGTCTCACAGTCATTACAGAAAGACACATACAAACTGTCATATGACATGACGCTCCATCCACTTCACATGCCTCCCGAGGGTCTCTGTTCCAGCCCAGCCGCCTTTATCCCACCCAGTAGGTACTCACCAGGCGCTCCCTTCCAGAAGGCCTTCATGCCCTCCTCGCTGTAGATTTTTCGGGCGGCGTCGAACACGCCCGTGTAGGTAGTCTGGCCGGCTCGTGCCGCCACCTGATCGCGCACACCACGGGGGAGAGGGTCAGTACGGCGGGGCACTTAGCGCACTGATGGGGTGGCGCGGGAACGGCGCAGCTGGCACCAGCAGCACGGGTCTTATTACATCCGAAGGAGGAGACAAATGGGAACAGAAAATTACTGACGAAGAAATTAAAGGAATATGAGCAAAGAAGAAAGATATGAAAGACAAGAGTGAAAAAGACAGCTGCAGCAAGCCGCCGTCGATTTCAGTCTCAGATCGTCAGATACGCTATGTAGTACACAAGCAAACAACAGTACAAGGGTACATACTACATAGTCTGCATGCCTGCACTTCCACGTGTGTCTGGCCGCTCCCCGTACACTGACCTGGAGTCGCGTCTTGATGACGTCGGCGGGCGTGGTGAGCGAGGCGGCCGGCACACCTCCGATGGCGCCGGCCACCAGCAGCGTGTAGGGCGCGTTGTAGCCGTTCTCGTCGGCCAGCAGCTGCTTGCTGTGCGCGTACACCGGGAAGTAGATGCAGCTGAACGGGATATCGCGCAGGAAACAGGCGCGCGCTCCCTGCCGGAGGAGGCGCGGCGGGTGAGCGGTGGCTGTGGACTGCAACTCCAGCACGGCTGTACGGAGGAGCTACAGCACACCCGCTGGGGATTCGCAGAAGGACTCCCAAGCGACCACCGAAGGCGCACTCTATTTGACGTTCACAGAGCTTATCAGGATCCAGTCCACTTTTACCCCGAACGGCTCGGATTGACCGATCACCCAACCGCCCTCTCGTCGAAGAGCCCTTCACCCATCTATACCCCTCATAACAGCACCCTGCACTATGCAGTAACGCTGCCGGCCTGCCGCCAGCCCCACTCAGTAACATTCAGGACCGCTTTTTCGTTCGTTCATTAGGGTTTACGGGCGCGTCGACTGCGGTGGTCATTTTGCGTCCCTAACACAGTACTGGTAAAGCGGATATGTCAACAACTGCCGGAGCGTCGGTCGCCTAGCGCGTCCTCTATAGCCCCCATAAATCCGAGGATTCTTCCATCCCCAACGCCTCCAAACCGTCATCGCGGCAGCCCGGTGAAACCCCACGCAGACACACCTTGTAGAGTCCCATGAAGCCGAGGTCCTTGATGACGCCAATGGCGCTGATGCTGCGTCCGCCGGCGATCTCTCCTGCCACCTGCAGTCGGATCTTGACGATCTCCAGCGGGTTGGTGAACACCACCTGACTGCCGCCGGCCTGTAAGCAGGGGGTCACGTATGAGCAAACACACAGCGCACAGGTCGGTCCGCCCACACGGCACGGTGAAAGCTACATATGTAATACGAAGTAAACACGGCGCCAATCCTGCCCAGATGAGAGTGTGACTTCACGCGCATCCGTGTTAGATAAAGTAAAATTTGATTAGAAAGACAAGGAAATGACTAGAGTCATCACCTCGTTCATCTCGTTATAATGCGGAATCAACTTTGTTTTTTTCGTACAATAACTCATAACCACTTCTGAGATCAAGTCCCGGTGTCAGGTCCAAAGTCCCGCTTTGATGCTAGCTCCTTCACTTACACAGCCTCCGGCCAGCACCTCAGCCCAGATGGGTATGGTGCCCTGTTTGGAGGTGAGCTTGTCGCGCACCAGGTCGTTGACGGTCAGCTTGATGGCCTTCTCGGGTGCCACGCCGACCAGCTGCGGGATCAGGCCGCGGTAGAGGCCCGAGAAACCCTCGAACCGCACCACCTGACGGCGGGCGTCAGAGGTCAGCGCTGCCGACACCGGGACCAGAGACGGACCGCAACCGGGCGGTGAATTACGGGAGAAAGGGGCCGCCGATGGGACTTATAAATAATACTTCAGCTATATTCAGCTTGTGTAAAGCTTACAGAATTAGAATTACAGAATTAGAATTACAGGATTAGAATGAGAATAGAAAGAACAGAACAGAATTACAGAATTAGCTTACAGAATTACAGAATTGTTCCGTGTTAGGTAACATACAAGTTTTTAGCTCAAAACTGACAGCGCAAAGTCTCTGGTAAAGTACCAGATGAGCTTCCGACACAGGAATAATTAGCGTTGTCTCGTATGTAATTGAATATGAATGAATGTGAACATTTTAAGGGGAAGACCACGGCTAAAGGAGTGGCGAAAACAGTTGTACCTAATGCATTCAGCTCTTCGTAAAGAGCCATGTTGACCGTTAGAGTTTTATAGTCTGTGCTGTGACGCCATCCGTTAATTCATGTAAATGCGCTGGTTCATAGGCGACATCGCTTTTGTCGAAAAAAACTGGTTAGTTGAGATACTCAGACATGTACGTAAGCAACACGATTAGATAAGGATAAAAACTAGAACACCGCGACGACCTAAAACTGTAAAGCATTGTAAAGCAGTCCATCAGCAGCAGCTAAGTGTCGCACAATGCCGTCGCAAAGTGGTTAGCCAGCTGAGAGACCAGTTTACGTCAACTCTTCAGCAACTGTCCGGTCCACCAAAAAGGGGGTCGGCGTAACGCGAAGGCAGACGAACTCATGGGAAGGCAAACGCTGGACCGGGGCAAAAACTCGCTACTTAGCAAACAAGCGATGGCGGGCTGTTTGGCAAGGTAAGGGAAGGTGGGCCGCGGGGCGCGAGAGATGGAAGACGGGCGGTGGGCGGACAGCGGCGTGCCGTACGCGGCGGATGAAAAGCGGCGGGCGGTAGACGGTAGGCGACGGACGATAGGTGGCGGACGATAGGTGGCGGACGATAGGTGGCGGACGATAGGTGGCGGACGATAGGTGGCGGACGATAGGTGGCGGACGATAGGTGGCGGACGATAGGTGGCGGGCGGTAGACGGCAGGCAGCTGGCGGCGGCCGGTAAGGAAGGCGGTATTCGACGGGCGGCGGGCGGAAGACGGGCGGCAGGCGGCCGGCTGGCGGTACGCGGCGGACGGTAGTGGAAGGCGGCGGGCGGTAAACGGTGGGTGGAAGGCGGAGGCGTCAGGGCTCTGACGCTAGTGACTGGGGCAGATCGGAGCTGCGCATAGCGAACAGCATCTGGTATATTCAGCCGATCAGCAGCCGTCAGAGGCTCGGGCTCTCAGCCGCAGAAGCTGTGCCGTATGACAAAGCGAGTCCCTCACGTGTCGGACGCATTTGGTCGCGATCCGCCGCCGCTGCCGCCCGCGGCCGTCCTGCCGCCACCAAAGGCCACCGGGACCGGGGTGGGATCGGGGACGGGTCAGAGCAGAGAGCCACGCAGGCGCCGGACGGCCCCGACCCGGCCAGACAGCCCCCAGACAGACTGGTAGGGCTGCTGAGAGCGCGGATTACCTACACCAGAGAAAACTGCATGCAGACAGTGGCCAGTGCCGCAAGACGCACCACTCCCCGCGAGTTCCGAGCAATCACAAGCAAATCCGCACAATCCGGGGTTATCTACCAGCAATACCTTTCACAGAGAATATCTTATTATTCACTACACACTACATAGCCTACCGACAACACTACATAGACCAGCCAAGACACCTAATGACACCCACGACGTGTTCTAATACCGCCCGGAACCGCAACCATGCACAGCAGCCCAGGCACCAAGGCCGCGACGCCGATACCCACCTTCTTGAAGCAGTCGAACGAGTTTTTGTACATGAGCTCGCCGATGAATGAGCCCGTCCGCTGGTTCTGCATCCGCGTCTTCACCAGGTCAATGGGGTACACGGCCGTCGCTCCCACCGCTGTGTGCGGAGAGAGAGGGAGAGAGAGAGAGAGAGAGAGAGAGAGAGAGAGAGAGAGAGAGAGAGAGAGAGAGAGAGAGAGAGAGAGAGAGAGAGAGAGAGAGAGGAGGAAGAGACAGAAAATGGGGAGGGAGAGAGAGGAGCAAAGGCAGCGTCAGTGTGCGTTTCGAAGACAGATGCGGAACGTTCAATAACGCCACGACACTTTCCGCACTGGACAGTGCAGCGGCCCCCGATAGCTGACCCACCACTACCCCTCTACCCCTTTATCGAGAGTTCACCTCCGAGCCCTGCCCCCCCCCCCCCCCGATGACCGTTCTCACCTCCTGCCACAGAGCCCAGTGAGAAGCGGTAGACGCTCTCGAGGACCTGGATCAGCGCGCCGCGCTGGTCCGGGGACTGGCGACACGGCAGAACGCCACGGTAAGACACGTCACAGAGTGGACGGGTGGCGTGCAACGGCAGGGTACGGCACGGTGGGAACCGGAGTACCGACACAGTAGGCAGCAAAAGCAAGGATCGATGGGGCACCTGAGACAAAACTAATTTATGTGGTAGCGTTCAAAAGACTACAACCCGAGAAACACCTGATCTGATCTGAGATGGCAAAACTGTCAAAACATGTCATAAATTAGCACAACTTAGAACCATCGTAACTATTCATATGATTACGCCACAAAAAGGCCACGCTTCCCTTGTCAGAAAGGAATTTCCAATGGAGACGCTCAATCACAGCAGAATTAGAGATATTATCACAAAATGGCATAGTAAAACAAAACATGATATAAGACAGCATAAAAATTCACAACGAAACTCGCAGGCAGAGCGACGCCGGGTGTCTCCGTCTTACCTCCACGGCCTTGATGTCTGTGTACTTTTTGGTGACCTGTTTCATGTACTGTTCGGGCGCCATCGCCTGCAGGTCGGCATACACCAGGCGGCTGAGGACGGACGCGCGAGGTCAGTCGCGGCACGGCGCGCCGGGTCACGGAGGGGCTCCCCGCCGGGCTGATTCCCGTAGGCCGGGTGGCTGGTCTTACGCAAGTGTGACTATAATCACTTAATATCTCACAGGGTGTAAACTTTTAGGGAAACGGCTGATGTGGTTCGGCCAAATGGCTATGGCACGCAGGAAAGCCATTTGACCCTTTTCTGTGCTAGTTTTTTGGTACGAAGCGACCAAACGACTAAAATGGAACAGCTGTACGGTGTTAAGAGCATCAGTGAGGTAAAGGCTATTCGCGTATGTATGTACCCCTCTCGAAACATCGAATAATGCTGCAGCTCAAAATGAGTGGGAAGATCAGAAGCAGAGATAACTATATAACATTGCCAGTTCTTGGCTAATGCGCGTAAAGTTCAAAATGAACTTAGAAGCGAGCCACATATAATCAGGTATTTACAGGCCAGCAGCAAATTGAAACCACTCACTTCACGGAGATAATGGTAAAAACGGCAAAAACTCTCAAACACATAATCATATCCACAACAAGATGGTCAAAAGCATGTGCATTGTGCAGTGCTGCGCGCGCTGAAAAACCAGTCGAAATGGCAAAACGAGGAAACACGCAATCAAAAATTGATTCGAATGGCAGCCGAGCATGACGTATCGCTAAGCGTCAGACTATTCACCCTAGGGCTGGAGTATCGTCTCCGAATAGAGACAGGTCGATCCTCGCAGCGACGGAACGAGAGGTTCGTCTTATCAGCGACAGTTACACGACAGGCACCACTCAGACGAGATAAGCTAACACGGAGGCCGAGTTAAGCTACCGACTAGGGGACGGACATCAAAGGACGGAGTTAAGAAAAATCACCCGATCGTTTGTGATCACTGAACAAAGAAAAAGAAGGTCATAGGTCAAGATTTAATTCATATCACAAACGTCCACACTTATTCTACTCTATCCAATACTAATGTTCCCAAATTTTCCCATTACCAATAATAATGATAATGATAATAGAATGTTTCCCTATTTCGGTCAGTGATTTTATCTCCGCCTCTCTACTGTTCTCTCCCGTCAGCGGCTTACTTGGTCTGCTGGATGAGTCCGGACAGTTTGAACAGAATGTCCACCTCCAGTGGCGTGATCTGTGACATCATCTGCGCCGACTGCAGAAACTCCTCTGCAACGACCAGACGGACGTCAACAGTCACAGCAAGACACGGGCATCACGTCGAACGGTCGTGTTGGTCGCGTCTCTGACAGCTAAAGGCTAGCTGGATTGTCAAACGTCTTGCCCGGAGAGATATGCATCCGTTTTATCTGTCAACTACTAGCATTACGAGCACTCTTCTCATCCGGTGACGCAAGTTTTTTTCTCGATTGTTCCCATCAGCCGCGCCTGTACCTTTGGTGATCCCACTTTATACCATTGATGACCCCAGTTCGTTCAATTCGTGACCCCATTCCACGCCTATGGTGACCCCAATTCGTACCATGATCGCAGTTTTGCACCTTTGATGGCCTTAATCCGTACAGTGACCCCGATCGGCACACTTGGCGGGCCAGTCTGTACCTTTGGTGACCTCAGCCGTTCGACTGCCATTGGACGCCTGTAGGTAGATCCTCTTGATGAGCTCCATGTTGTTCAGCAGCGAGTTGAAGGCCATGAAGAACGGGAAACTGACATTCTGGCCATCAGCCACCTGCCAAGCCGGACACGATGTTCACTGATACAAGATTGTTTGAAAAGCGCCTTGTGCGAAAACCCGCACAAAATGAGGAGTTTGGCTGACGTCCGGTGATAAGCTGCAAACGACGTAAGACGAAAGACAGCACGTCTTACTCTAACGTTCAATCATTTATTAAATGAATGGAAATGTAGGGAATCCAGTTCATCGTGAGCAGAAGCCCGTTCGGAGTTGCGGCGTCACTCACGGCCACCAGGTTGTCCTTGACTTGCGGCGTCAGCAGGTGGTGCTTGATGGTCATCATGATGCTGTTGAAGCCTACCGGCGTGATGAAGCCCGTGCCCGTCTTGTCGTACCGTTTGAACGCCTGGACCGCGTGCTCCTCGCGGAAGTCCTGACGGCGGACGAGGGAAAGAGGGAGCGAGATATCAGGTAGAGCATACATACTCCGATAGCTATACACGGACTGAGCAACCAGCTGAGCAGGACATACAACCATGACATCCAGACAGTCACAGGCAGAACACAGACATGACATCCATGACACCCAAACAGCCACAGGGCGTGACACAGACACGGATAGTAAAGGGATATCGTGACCGTATGACATTCAGTGAATCCCTCAATTTCATAAATGTGTTGGGCATTATGAGATTGTGAGATAGATTCGTTCCTTGTGTGTCGGCGTCAATTACAAAGTGACGGATAATATCAGTTGGCCCACTGATACTACGAAGCCTCTCCAGATAACGAGCAGAAAAAATGTGCATGCAAAAAAAAGATGATAGGAACGCGTCAAAACAGCATTACGTCGCATGACGATGGAAAAGGCTCCGACAGCCAGAGAGCGACCGAATGAGAGAATAATAGCTTGTTAATTGTAATGTACCTACCCTCACGATTCACGAGAAAAGATATTCCACCGAATATGATTCAATGATGGAGCAATTATACCGCATAGGGCTGCAGTCGGCTCTCTTCCCAATGAAGCGCACGATCTCTTACATGTATAAACTGACTGAACTCGTGGTAGGGGATGAGCCGCTTCCGGTCCTTGCCAAAGTACAGCTTGACAAAGTCGCTGTCACAGTCGAACTCGATCTGCTGGTGAAGCGTGGTGTGTGTGATAACCTCCTTAAACTCCTCTGAAACAGAGACCGGCGGACGGTTAGGGCTGAAGAAGTGACACATGGCACACTCACTGCTGAGCAGCCCTCACACCAGTTTAACCCTCGCCGGCACAGGGGGGGGTTGATGCAGCCCCCCCCCCCCCCTAAGGTTTTTCGCGAATAACTCGCGTAAAAAGCGGCCGATCGCGACGAAACTTTCAGTACCCTCGCATTGATCAATTCTACACCTACCCTGAAAGTTTCATGACCCTGACCCAAATGACCTTTGACCTGTGACCTACTTTCCGAGACCATGTTTGGCCGGAATCGCGATTCGGCGTATGTCGGCTCGCATTAGCCGCGCGTTTGCAAGCTTTTCGTGGTTTCAAACGTTCAAACATGTGATTTGATGTTGCTCCCATGCATAAGCGTGGGTGTCAAGGTCACCTGAAGGTCAGGTCAGGTCATTGACCTTTGGTGACCTCGGTTCACTATTTCGAGTTTTACATGTTTCTAGGCTAGTTTTTGGAGCTGAATTCGAATTCAGCAACCATTTTTTGAACATTTACGAAGTAGTTTTGGTGCCTTCGTAACATGTTACGAAGCTGTCAGAGGCGGATGACAGGTACTACGAATACCCGTCACGACCCCTACCGGTTGACCTGACCTGATCCGACCTGGTCTAAACGCTTAACGACATCATCTGTGATCAAAACTAACACAATATTCGTGATCAGCACCCCGGAAGCCCCCTTAGCAGCCACACTTTATGACTTTCTAACAGGTCCCGATTTTCCCGATTTTTGGGTCATTGATCTGACCTGGAAGGTCAACCGATGACCTAGGACCCTAAAATTGGGTATCATTGGCTTCCTCTCGTGACGGGCAACACGCTCGTTTTTTCCGCGAAGCTCTAGCTCCATCAGGGGCCAAATGCGAGGGGGGTCGTACCAACCCCCCCCCCTCCCTTGTGCCGTCGAAGGACTCAAAATGGCCTGTGCCGGCGAGGGTTAAGCCTCGCCCGTATGGGGGGGGGTCGAACGGACCCCCCCCCCTTGGTTTTTTGCGAAGAACTTGCGTAAAAAGCGACCGATGGCATACCCTCGCGTTCATCAATTTTACACTCATCCTGAAAATTTCATGAAAATTTCACCTGTGACCTACTCTTCGAAACTATGTTTGGCCGGAATCGCGATTTGGCCTATGTCGGCTCGCATTAGCCGCGCGTTTGAAGTCTTTCCGTGGTTTCAAACGTTCAAACATGTGATATGATGTTGGTCCCATGCGTTAGGGTGGGTGTCAAGGTCACCTGAAGGTCAGGTCAGGCCATTAACCTTCGATGACCTCGGTTCACTTTTCGAGTTTTACATGTTTCTAGGCTAGTTTTGGAGCAGAGGCCAGTTTTACCAACAGAAAAATAGCCGACTACCGTTTTTTTTTTTTTTTTTGCATAAAGACCGCCTCACATAAGGAGCGTAAACGAGATGAGCACGTAAGCGCATAGGGCTTTACCGTTTACGTTCGTATGTGAAGCGGTCTTAAGGCAAAACATTCCGGCAGGCGGCTATTTTCCTCTTGGTAAAACTGGCCTCTGAGTTCGAATTTAGCAGCCATTTGAACATCTACGAAGTAGCTTTGGTGCCTTCGTAGTATGTTAGGAAGCTGTCAGAGGCGGTTGGCACCTACTACGAATACCCAGCAGAACCCCTACTGGCTGAACTCACCTGACCTGACCCGACCTGGCCTAAATGCATGAAGACATCATCTGTGATCAAAACTAACATGATATTCCTGATCAGCACCCCGAAACACCTCATAGCAGCGACACTTTACGATGTTCTAACAGGTCCCGATTTTCCCGACTTTTGGGTCATTGACCTGACCTGGAAGGTCAACCAATGACCCAGGACCTTAAAATTAGGTAGCATCGGCTTTCTCTCGTCACGGGCAACACGCTGGTATTTTCAGCGATTTTCCGCGAAGCTCTAGCTCAATCAGGGGCAAAACGTCAAGGGGGTCCAACGGACCCCCTCCCCCCCCCCCCCCTCATACGTTCGCGTCTGGCAAAACACCAATACGGGCGAGGGTTAAAACATATCATATACAGATCACGTGAAACTGAATACGATATTCAATCACGCAGAAGACCTTGTATTCGAGCGGAAATCTTTTAGTGAAGCGAGGCTCCATATAATACGCTGAGTAAACAGGGTACACCTTTTTACGGCCAAATATAGACAAAGTGCACACAATTCAGTAAAAGTGCAAACGATTTCGACCGTTCGGCATTAGACAGACTATGCCGTACTGACGAAATCGCCTGCACTTTTACTGAACTGTGTGCACTGTCGTCTAAATTGGGCGTAAAAAGGTGTAGTGATCGATCACAGAATAACCGCAATAAGTATGCACCTGGTCAAAGGAACAATGATGACCACTCCCCTTACTACTCCCCTTACTAGAAATTTTCTTCCACAAAATGACATCCCAGTTATCACTCCTTCGTGAAAAATGACGTCCATTACCTACCCTTACAAACGGAACTCTATTTAGCTTGTCTCTTTGTTCGGCCAACCTCGTCCCCGGTCTCGCTTCAAACGAAAAGTCAGTGTCTGATGTCAAAAGATGTCTCAACAAACGAGAGGTCATGGCTCACCAAACAAGACGCCATTCCTCACCAAACGAGAGGTCATTGTCTCACCGAACGAGGGGTCGTGCCTCACCGAACAAGACGCCATGTCTCACCAAACGAAAAGTCATTGTCCCATCGAACGAGGGGTCATGTCTCACCAAACGAGGTCATTGTCTCACCGAACGAGGGGTCGTGCCTCACCGAACAAGACGCCATGTCTCACCAAACGAAAAGTCATTGTCCCATCGAACGAGAGGTCATGTCTCACCAAACGAGGTCATTGTCTCACCGAACGAGGGGTCGTGCCTCACCGAACAAGACGCCATGTCTCACCAAACGAAAAGTCATTGTCCCATCGAGCGAGAGGTCATGTCTCACCAATCGAGAGGTCATTGTCTCACCGAACGAGACGGCGCCGGAGCCGCGCGCGTCAAACAGCTGAAAGGCCGTGTGGTAGAGCGCATCTGGGGCGCACAGCTGGCCCTCGAACGCCTGGAACTCCGGGAACGAGATGAGCCTGCCGGTCAGCACGCAGCGGGGCCGGGAGTTAGACACACACATAGCAGCTGGCGACACAGCACTTATATCAAACAATGGCTGGGTGTGCCATGTTATTTGTATGTTTGTTTATTGTGGCTTTAGAGATGCACCACAAGGTATAGAAACGTCAAACTGTGTTTTAATTTTTTTTCTATTTCAAAGCTTGTTGCATGATAAACCTCGGTTTCCACACTTGTGCTCAGACTGATGGCATTTCTCGCTGTGTCTATAATCTGAGCAGTCTGTTAGAGTTTTGAGGCTGTACAAGCTACGTGACTGCACTAGCTATCTACTCTACACACTGACCCATCTTTGCTAGTATCAATGATGCCTGCCAGCAATTTGACCGACTCTGGGTTGAAGTTGTCTTCTTTGAACCATCCCAGGAAGTTGCGGATAAAGTCGGTGGGCGTCATGTATTTCTGGCCATCTTTCTCCAGAGAGGCATACTGGAATGAATGACAAGGTCAGAAGAGGCAGGTTGAGTACAAACTACAATCAGTTAGAAAAAGACAGGCATCAATAGGACAATCCCAAATGACTCAGATCAGGAACATGTCTCATTAGTCATTACAGGAATATTCGACCTAACTTCAAATGAATGTTTTCATGGGTGTTTTGCATCAAAAGTCAGCTATGTAGAGTCATGGATGAGATACTACAGATGAGCATTAGGTATCTCATCCATGGTAGTTTGTTGCATGACACTGAGCCATGTGATTTTAAATAAACTAAATCATAGATATTACCATATCAACATGATCTGTGGTATCATGATATCTGATAGAACAACTGATCTTTAGCAAAGGTACTGTAAAGAAAGGGCACTGACAGCAAGGCCCTATATCACTTAATGTCAAACTCTCTACCACTATGTCACGGGCGGCCCAGTTATCTTATTAATTAAATAACATTGAGAAAACATGTATGTCAAAATTTTCAGATTGCATAACAAAATGATCCCCAAAACTATTAATGCCAAAATAAATGTTGCATTAGGTACCTTACCTGCTCAAATATTGAGAGCAGCTTGTCTGTGCCAGCCCTCTTCAGTCTCCCTGTATCCTGTAATAGACATTGCTTAAATCATTCAAGTACCTTGTTTTATAGCCAGCGCCCAGTAGCATCATATCAAATGATATATTGAAATAAACAGATACAAGAAAACACTGACCCTGCGTTCGATGTCTCTCGGAAGGCGAAGATTCTACGCTGTCTGGCCAATCACGTTCGATAACAGCAGCCAAGCCCCCGCTGACCTTGGACGGGATTGGCCGGATGATATAGAATCTTTGTCGTCCAAGAGACATCAGACGCGGGGTAGATAAAAAATCAAATCAATCCCAAAAATTAGCATCTGTATATGTGTATACTTATTTCAATCCCCACCAGAAGAGCAGTGATTTGATTTCTATGTTATGATATTGGCATGCCATGCAATCAAAATTATCGAAAAAACAGATCAAGATCAAATGCTTATTTATTTACCTCAGCTGAGCATGCCGCATGAGTGAAGATTCCCTCCTTGGTGTACTTCACCAGGTACTCCATCTGTTAAAAATTAAGACGATCTAATTTAGGCAGCACACTTAGAAAGATGAAGAATTGTCCTGCTCAAGATAAATCCTAGCAATGGATTCACATTCTGGATATAACTTCATCCAAGCCTTTCTTAAACAACAAAACCATATGAAAATTCAACACTAAATTTGATCTGGCATAAAGGACAGGAACATGTGGATTCTGACATGTGGATGTCAGAATAATTGGTAAGTTATTTGTATTGTGGACAGTAAAAAGGGGGCATTTCAGTATCCTATCGGTCAGTGCTACAACTAAACGTAGCGATCTGGCAATTACTGACAAAAAAGACAGCTTAACCAAATGTACATCATGTTCATACACCTGTTTATGAAATAGTGACACTCAAGACTCTTATGACGCAACACTAGTCACCTTTACATAGCAGTTTTGACGATGCTCTAGCTTGTTTATTTGGCAATATCAAATATTTAGAGGGGATCATTTTGTAAAATGTTAAGCACAATTGGCACCTTTTGCAACATAACAAATGGAGATAAAGCCTGCAACAAACCCTATGTAAACAAGTCTACTGCTTTCAAACTTTAATTCAAACTTTAATGAATTACATTTGACTATTTTCATGAAAACAAAACTTGAAGTTCTCACTCAAAGGTAAGTACATTTAGCATTTCTCCGGATGATCAGGGGTTATGAACAAGTCTAAAACTTGAAAACATGCAATGAACATACAATGATCATAAAAACATTCAACAAAAAGCAGCACCTCAATACTTCGGACTATAACAGCCCCCAATCGGCGCCTGCTCTGAAATCAACTGACCTTTTCCATGGAGGATGCCATGTTCAGAATCAAGAACATTAAACCTCCTTAGCCTAAATGGAGTTATCTACAGTAACAAAAACAATACTTACCACTTTATTTGATAAATCTTTTATAAGTATAATATAATAGAGGCTTTGGGGATCATTTTATGACCAGGCACTTTATTTCTTCAGATAATTCCCAGTAAATTCCCAGTATGTTTTTGGTTATTTTTGGTACCAGACTAGGGGCCTGTTCCAGCGCCTCCAGAAGAAATTCTTGACTGGAGGCTCTACCAGAGGTTTTACTGGAGGCGCTGGAACGCAATCTGGAGATTTCTGGAGATTGGCGTCATAGATACCAAAATAATGACGATTGTTCTCTCTTGAAACGCAAAATTTGTTTTCAATTTTAGTTAAAAAGATAAATAAAATTATAGCAATGTAATTTTCTTTACATTCAAGCTGTAAAATAATCAGTCAAATGTCCTTTGTTTACATTCGTGATTGTCACATGTGCACCATAATTGTAGACCAGAGCCTCCAGAGAAATTTGGACCTCTCAACTCTCTGGAGGCTACTGGAGGTTTCTGGAGCTTTGGCGAGAGCTTTCTGGAGCTTTCTGGAGGCGCTGGAACGCTCTCTGGAGTATTCTAGAGCTTTCTGGAGCTTTCTGGAGGTTTCTGGAGGCGCTGGAACAGGCCCTAGATCCGACAATTTATTATCGTTGTCACTTTTGCATTTCGTGACGAAATCCAGTACGCACAAAAAGAAAATAATTTTGGTATATATTTAGCACTTAAGCCATAAAATATTATGGTTGTACAAACATGTCTTTATCAAGGTGTCCCAATAAAAAGCTAGCAACAGGGTAGATATTTACAAAAAGCTGCCGCTCCTACACCGATCACGGGCGCGAGTCGTGAACACCGCGTGACCGACGCGGCGCAGCAGCCGAGCGGAGGGAGGGTGCTGGGCCTGGCAGTGAACGGCGACCCAGGCGGTGGCGGCCGGAGGACGGCGGGTCAGGTTATCTGGGTCTCCTCCAGGGAACCCTGTTTGCAGGTCATGTCACTCGCCGCTACTAGATGCCCGCGCTTCAGTTTCCATGAAAACTTCACAATTTGTTTTTGTCACTGGCGGTTCTGTCACTTTCATGAAGCCAAAGGAAGAAACATTTAATATTGCACCAATTTATAACGGCCTACCTATCCGATGCAACCCCAGTAAACATGCCGACGTCGGCCCAACGTCGGTTCAACCTCGGCCCGACATCGGCTGGACGTCGGATATGCCCGCATGTTCCGACGTCCAGCCGAAGTCCAGCCGACGTCGAGCCGACGTCGGGCCGAGGTCGTTTGCCGAGGTTGACGAGATCGTTTGTCGTTGGACCGACGGGGCCGACGTCGGCATGTTTATTGGGACAACGCGCCAAAAATATCAACCGGCGGCGGGATTCGAGCCCCCAGTCGCCGACGTCGGCATGTTTACTGGGAAAACACGCCAAAAGCATCACCCGGCGATGGGATTCGAACCCCGTGTCATTTGAACGCGAGGTCAGGGCTCTAACCACTACACCACGCAGCCAGCTAACGAATTCAGTTTGTTTTGTTGGCTTATGCCCTTTCGGTCTGTGACAAGACCATTTCAGAGCCGGAAGGATGATAGGATGGAGACATTGGTCTTCTTGGCGAGCACCCTGGGTCCAGTTCATATAGAGTCCCTGGTCCCATTGCTGTTACGTGACACTTATTGGAAAGGGTGACCCCACTTAATGGATTCATATAGCCACTCTTACACACCTGCACCAACGTTTCCCAAAGTGTCCCTTTGATAAGTGGCACTTTGGCAAAGTGACACTTGCCGACTGGCCTTTATGAACTGGGCCCGGCCCTGGTGAGTTGCCGGGACTGAGCCTGACCAAAGGATAGGCCGAGCACTGAGCAGCCCCCAAGCACTCACCGCATCCGGCTACGGGCGAGCTCGGCTTACGGGCAATCCCAAATGGGATAAAGTTTCCCGTCCAGTCCGGATCAGGGGGTTGCGGCGTGGAGGGAGATTTGAGTTTCCTGAGGATATTTTGAATACAGAAGCTCTTTATGAAACATGAAACATGTATTTTATATTATTTTAACGGTCAAAACAGCGGCCGATGTCGGTCCGACGTCGGCCCGACGTCGGCTGGACCTCAGCAATTGATCTCGGTCCGACGTCGGCCCGACGTCGGCTGGACCTCGGCTGGACGTCGGTACATGCGGGCATATCCGACATCCAGCCGACGTCGTGCCGACGGGTTGGACCGACGTCGGGCCGACGTCGGCATGCCGATGCCGAGTTGCAGACGTCACCACGACGTCGGCCGACGTCGGGCCGACGTCGGCATGTTTACTGGGACAGTAGGCCTACATTGCATACTTAACCCGCGCCCCGTAGGGGGGGCCGAAACGCCCCCCCCCCGTCCTTTTCGGTAGATATCTCCTAAACGGCTGGAGATATCGCCACCAAACTTTCAGGACCCCTCCGGGCATCAATTTTACACATTATGACCAAAAAAATTTCCAGAGGCTATGATAGGTTGGCCACAAATGACGTCAGAGTGACGTCATGTTCTGTCATTTTCGACCGAAAAAAAAGACCTTCGCGAGAAGACCTGTCAGGACTACAGCTTTGAAGATACAGAAAAATGATCAAGACATAAAAGTGTGAATTTATAAGTGGTGTTAGGGTTGGGAGGAGGATGAGGATAATTGGGAGAAGGAGGAGGATGTATGGAGAGGTGTGGATGGGTGTGCGGATAGGCACAGGCACGCCTACTGGCTGTTGTTGCTGTTCCTGCTATTACTATTACTCGTGTGTCTAGGGGTGTTTCCTAATCTGTACCATCTGCACAATCCTACTCATCGTTGTCTAGGGGTATCGTCTTAACACTGTACAATCCTGTAGCCGTCAACCAAAACCGTTGTCTAGGGGTGAACTGAAACTTTACCAACTGCTGTGGTCTAGAGGCATTAACTGATCGACTGTTTGCTGGAGACCCACCAGCCCGTTCGTCCGAGTTGTCATACTGCCCGTGTTCCCACATTCGTTGCCCAGCCTCGAGAAAGAACGTGAAGGTATACGAACTAAATATGTATTGTATTAAAAGCCGAAACTATAAAAGATGAATGAATCAAAAGACGAATGAATAAGGCCGAAACAAGTCGAACATCAAAAAGCCAAAGTGAGCAGGGTCACGGTAACCGTGCCTTGCTAAAATTGCCAAAGTGCCAAAACCATTTCGAGACCATCGAAACAAGGATCAAGCCAAATAATAACACCAACTGAATATCGCCAAAGGGTAGAACTGACTCAGTGCAAGCCAAAGATGTTTGCCAGAAGAGCCGAAATAAACTGAGTCATGTTCCATGATACAGAACCATCATGTTACACCTTAACTAGTCACGGTACCGCAGCCTTAACCTACAAGTACCTAAATATCCTACGCAAATGTGTGTGCGTGTGTGGCGGTGCTTGAGTCGAAATTTCGGCCGCGGCAGCGGTCACGAACAGGACAGAGGCTCACAAACCCTCTCAATCCGCCGGTCCTAAGACCCTTGGAGACTAGGGTTTGTATAGCCAGAGTCCAGCCCGTGCCTTTCCACCAAGGCCGGAACTGCCCAAGTACTTACATGATCGCAAAGAAGACCACACTGCGTCGGGACCTCGGGCACGAATCTCTCGCCCGTGCGTCACACGCGCCTTTTTATACGTTTTCACGCAGTCGCAAGGCCGGCCACCTTCTAGCCGGCGGCGAGCTGGCGCGGCCGGCTGTCTGTGTACAATATCGCTATATGTCGCATATGTGTTTTGCTATTTTTGCTAATCTATCAATACCGCAGAGTATTCACAGATAATAGCGCAATCTAAGTCATTGCATAGCGATCTGCTTATCGATTGCACAGCGTTAACTACATATTCGCGCAACTTCTGAAGGCCTTATTTAAATACAAACACCTTATATGATCTAAATACCGTCACCATGGCAAACGTCACCTAACCAACTTAATTACCTATTAACTACCTTGACACACTGAACTACCTATGGCATATCTCAATACACCGACACTGGCATTACACCACCGCACCTAGTTATGCGTTTTGCTAAACATACTAACTCCGCCACCGAACGTAACTATTCTAATATAGCATGGACAATAAACACACGGCCAGGACGCTCCTAAATGTACAGTCCTTATCTACACACTTGATGCAATTAGCATCAATTCTGCGCGACCATCACCAATGTAGAGGTCCACCCAGGCTCTACACTGAGAGGGGTTTAAACTGAAGGAAGGTTTAATCACGCTGCACTGGTGTCCTTTTTTATAGTTGTTTTCACTTTTTGTTGATACCGATACAAATGCCGGCTGGCATCATACCAGAATCGCCCAATGTCCGAGTCGCTCTTCTCCGCATCGAACCACGCATCGCCGCGAACACTGTCACTTGGGATCCCTCGCTGTCACTGCCCTCCATTGCACGCCAAAACTCGCAATGTCCGCAATATAGCACTCAGTAACCTCCTCACGGTATTCGCGCAAGTAACACCAATCGGTCTTCCGATCTGGCCTGCCTCTCAGTCCCTCAGTTGATAGGAATATATAAGATGTGTCAGACGTTGTGACACTGCTAGGGCTGCATGGATAGCTTGCATTATCCCTGCCCGTCTTGCTAACGATCACTGTGACCAGCGTCCCTGGGTGTGCCCCACGGGCACAGTCCGCCGTGAACTGCTGCTCGCTATTTGGTATCGACATTGCTGCCGATCCCGACCTGTCGTCATCTGTTGATAGCAAGACATGCACGCCTGCAGGTTCTACAGCTGTAAATAGAAGCATAGTCACCCTTCCCTCCCTGAGACCTGTTATCGTAATGCGGGGCGGTAGCTAAGAAATATGACCAGGCTTTTTCAAACGCTCTTTCTTTTGGGCAGTATATCGAAACGTTACTTTGCATCGTTGTGCATAAAATGCTGCAAAAGTTGCTCCAGGTGTATCTTTACGTTATTATGCGTTTCACAAGGTTTCATATGCTAATGCTAATGGTCCCCGGCCTGCGCCGTCCTTCGCGCTTCTCCGCCGTCATTCCGCTAATCCCTGAGGGTGTGTAAATCTAAACACACTGAAGTGCACATTTGCCCTGGAGCTGCCGCGCTCGCCGCCTGTGAGGTCATAGGTCAATGGGGATTTGAGTGTACA